TTTCTGTCTGAATTTTTATAACATCCATCATACAAATAACATGAAAGACTATTGTAATTGAATGAAGAAAATAAGAGAAAAATATTTTTCTCTCATGTTTTATGTTGGATATAGACAATTATATTTTTTAACCTGTGGTCAGTTTTTAAATAGCTTGTTCTGTAGCATGTAGGATTAAGTCAAGTCCTTGATTATTTCTCCTATTTGTGTGAAGTACTTTGAGGTCTATTGATGAAAATCACTAATAGGAGCTTAGTATTATTATTATTTCACATAGCAAGAGGGAAGAGAAAATAATCATAATTTTAAGGATAAAAGTGAATGAGAATACAAAAAAATAATGTGCGGAAATGAAGAATAGGTGGTACTTGAAACTGTTTTAAAAGGATTTTTGAAAGTGGCTAAATTTTATAATGCCTAATCAAAAGGACTTTAGTCATTGTTGTGAAGCTAGCATTGTGTTTTTCATGAACCTGGGTTTTTTCTGTGGTTCAAGTTACTCAAGCAAGCTTTTCACTTTAAGTTTTATACCGGGTCACCCTTGGCTGTTGTCCCTTATTGTACAAATTATACCCTCAGAAAGGGGTTTGACCATGTGTTTGTTCTTTCACAGCTTCACTCCAGACTTAGTTAATAAATTCTTACTTTATGTCTTACTACTACAAATGAAGTATTCATTTAGAGATGCTTTCTCTGTCTTCTCAAATACATATCTTTGTTCAGAAGCTGCCAGGTCCTGCATCTTCTGACCTTGGTCTCTGAGAAGACTATGGAGTCTTCCTTGTAACCCAGACTCCCTCAGTCATTGGTGGTCTAGGCTGTAGTATCTTGAGAGTCTTGGTACTTTCATCAAGTTATTGAAGAATCCATTTACGCCTGACAGCCCTCAGTTTTGTTTGGTCCAACTGCTGGGATTTGAACAAGTATTGTAGAGCAGTGGTCAGCAATGTTTTATGAGTGGATGGCTGGATCAATGCAATTTGGGTCCAAGGCAGGCTGAAGCTTCCTACATGGCTAGTCATGGTCACTTTTCCTCTGAGCCCAGCTGTAGCACAGGTAGAGCCCCCTACAGCTGAAGCCACCCACCTCCACAGGCTGGACAGAATGGTTCTGTAAGCCAGATGCGGTTTGCAGACAATGCTTTACTGACCCCTATTAAAGCATTATTTTAGCTAATATTATATATAGGCCCTTATGCAGTCCAGCCACAGATTTATTTGCCGTGTGTACAAAAAACAACGTTAAACATATAGCTGATATTCTGCATGTAGCAAAACATAGAACATCTCTGCTTTTGCACTTGGCAAATAGCTTTGGTTTCAGAGGGCAGATAAAGCATCAGAGATTATGGCCATTTTATATCTGATTTGTTCCATTTCCAGGATTTTTATTACTTAGCAAGATGGCAGAAAAAAATAGTGTGTGGAAGTTTGGCATCCTTTTAAAGGAAAAAAACCCCATTCTCTTGGACTTCTTTTTTAGCTTAATTTTTTTTTAACACTTGGAGGCATTTGTTTTTTCAGAACATGTATTTTAAAAGGGTTTTTTTTTTATATATTAGGCAAATTAGGCTTTAATTTCAATCTGTTAATATAAGCCTCTGCCTTTCAAAGTTAGAATGGAAGTTACAAGAGCACCAAGGTGTTCTGGTGGGAACAAAAAATATTAAACGTCTGGAAGCTAGAAGAAGGGAAATGGGTAGAATCATTGGCAAATTTGAAGGAAGATGAATGGTAGGTAAAATCTACAGTCATCGAATACAGAAGGAAAAGTAGATGAAGTATTAAACTTTTAGAAGTTGGTTCACTTGTTAAAATTCAGAAATTTTTCTGCAAAGTAAGTAGAACATCTCAATTTTAAGAAGCCTTAACAGAAAAGAGAACAAATGGGAAAGGATAGAAGGACAGCAGAATGGTATTGATGTCTCTTTAGTGTAAAAGTACAACATGTAAATATAAGAGTGAATGGGATTATAAAGTGATTCAGCAAATTTCTTCCAGTGATACTACATATGGAACAGTAGAAGTTTACAAGAAATTCTGCAGTTGTTGGAAGAAAGATGATGACAAAGTGATTCTAAAATAACCTCTAGTAAGAAAAACTATTTTTCATTTAGCAGCTTGGGTAACTTGTACCAAAGAGTCTTAAAAGAGGACTTTACCTGATGATGTTGTTATTCAATAAATTTTACATTATTTAAGGAAAGTCTATAAGGTTTTGAGAGAGATAATATTTTAGCAGTATTCAGAAGGCCAAGAATGATAGCCATTAAACTAATGGAAGACCTGATTTTGTGTTGAACTGGTAGAGAACTGAAAGATAAGGAATAAGAAAAGGTTAAAAAAAATTGACACTCAATATGACTTTATGGAAAATAGCCTTTTAAATAAAACTGACTTCAGTTGCTGAGAGAATCACAAATTTAACTTAAAAGTAATTGCGCCTATATAATATACTTCAACCTGTATAGGACATTTACCTAATACTGCATAACATGCTGATTTAAAAAAACTAATGTTATACAATATCAGTAAAGCATATATTAAATAGATTAAGCATTGGGTAGCTGGTGAAGCAGGAGGAAAATTGGCGGCTCCCTTTCCCTCTCTTTTCCACCCTCCTCCCTGTGCCACCGAACTCCTACCTTCCTTGTTTTCCGTACACACGAGAAAGGAAGGAGAGGGGATATGGAATTGTGAGAAAGAAATGATGAAAGGAAATGTAAAGAAAAGAGGGGCTTGAGTGTTGGAGAAGGGGAGATGATGAGTATATGAAATATGGATTGAATGAGGGGAAAAGTATCACTAGAAGGAAAGAGATGGAAAGAATAAATAGAAATATAAATGGATAGTGTGGCTCCATCCAAAAGGAAAAGATTCAGAAACTTCATGCGTTTTTTTTTGTTTTTTTTTTATTATGATTGGGGCATGTCCCACTGGTTCCTGGTTCTAACAAATAGTAAGCTTCTTCTATATCCTAGGGATTTTTAGCTGAAGAACTAACAAAAGGAAACAAAACCCAAGAACCACCTATTGGGGCTGACCACTATTAAGCTGTATTAGTACAAGCCCTGGTATAGATGAGACTCTTGGCTTCTGGCATTTTCTACCATATCAATTAAAGCAACTCAGCTGTCTCATGAAAACCTGTGTGCAGACAAGGCAGCCTTAGACTCTGACATTTATACATACTATGAGTGATTTTTATGCAATATCAAACTTGCAAGCCTAGTGATTGATTTACATTTTGAAGGTTATCTTTGCAATGAAAAGGGCTATGAGCTTACTACTTTTTTAATGAAAGCTTAGATTAAAAGGAACAGAGCTTGTAAAGTTCAGCAGACCTCTGACAGAAGTTGTAATGCATGCAGAGACCCTCACAGTTTCTAGGTGTTTGAATATTCGGTCTTTAATAGCTTAAACCTTTTTACTGCAACATAGTCCCGGGGATTAGTTCCCCTTGAGGATTAGTGTATTCTAAAACAAGTACAGTTTTTGCATTGCTGGCTTTGACTTGTTTGTGAATAAAAAGAATTAGAACAGTTTTTCTAGAAGTGACAAAACAGTAGTTTTGCCTGAATCCCCTAGCTCTCATAGGGCTTGTCCAATTAACCTCAACTTTTGCTGCTTAAGTTATGAATATATGACCAATTTACCATGATGGGAAAGGGGGCAGGATTTTACTATGTATCAGTTGCTATAAATGATGTTGTGCAGATAGCTGCCATGGACAGCTTTTGCTCTATAGTAGTAAACCAAAATAACTTGCACCTCAATGAAATAATTCAGTTTTTGTCTACTGCTGGGTAATAGCATGCACATGCATGTTTACGTAGTAATGTACCTCCTTCTATAACCCTGCAGCAAAGTTTCCATTTGTATATGCCCTTACAATATTTTCCTTGGGGCAGAGAGAAATATGAGAAATTTGGGACAGAAAGAAGTGTATCAGTGTCAAAACCATACTTGAAGGTAGTTAAAATGATGCCAAACATGAACACTATTTTTGTCTTGCATTTGGGTTAGAGTAACTGGCAAAGAAGCAAGCAACATAGCTCAGTTTTTACTTCCCAAACTGATATTACAGGAATGGGTTTTGCCTGTAATATGAACAAAAAACTGGTACAGCATTTTTATTTATTTATTTATTTTTACAATCCCTCTTCAAAATACAACTGCACTTTGAGGCTGCTTTATTAATCTTAGCTTAATGCCTATACATGAGCTTGGAGTCTGCTCCCATGCGCCGGAATTCTAGCATGCCAGACCACACTCAGTCGAGTCTGCTGGAGTATGACAATTGTTGCACTCCAGTCATGTTTTGTGTCTCGTGCTTCCTATGCTTAAAAATGCTAAAAGCGTTCCCATGCTTAAAAATGGCAGTGGAGGCACTTGAACTAAAGCTCATTGAACAGCTTTGGTTCAACTGCCCCCACCCCCATTTTTAAGCATGGGGACGCTGATACAGGAGGTGTGGCAGTGCTTTAATTAAAGCAGCTCTTGGAGCCACTTTAATTAAGCACTTCCCCACACCCCCAGAGCATGTGTAAAAGTTTGTGAGATGTGCATTATCCTCTAGTCCTCATGCATTTGATAAATGTAAGCGCAATCACATTTCTTTTCAGTTGAAAACACCAAAAACTGTGTAGGCTATACAATATTGTTGAGTTAATGTTGATGGAGTAAACATAATTTTAGTATATTCCCAATTCTTAGTGCTTGATTTGTAACTTAGCATTCTGTTAATGCTTGATATTTTTCAGGGTTTTTTCCCCATTTAATATATAAATTATTTCCTGAAGTCTGGTAATGCTCAACTTATTTAACCTAAGTATATATGCAGTTATTTTGCAAAATAATTTGAGAGAATGCAAATGATACAGATTGTATATGTTTCCTTTCTTTGCTTCTATTAGTAGCAGTTTAGAGCTTTGATAGTGTTCCAAAATTGTCACACACGAGGAGTTTTTTTAAATTCACATTAAAATATGCTTTTTACAGGTTCATGAAAATTTGTGGCTCTGAACTAGTCCGCCTTGAGTTGGCTTGTGGCCATTTCCTCAATGAGACTTGCTTGGAGGTCATTGCTGAGACATGTGTAAACCTTCAGGAATTAAATCTCTCCTCCTGTGATAAGCTACCACCTCAGGCTTTCAACCACATTGCCAAAGTAGGCAGCCTTAAGCGTCTCATCCTTTATCGAACAAAAGTAGAGGTAGGAATAACTGTTTTTAACCTTTGTGAAAAGTATTTTGATTCCTACTAATATTGTAAAAGTTTAATTGCCAAATAACAAACTAGAATCATATCAGAATTATGCAACTTAAAGCTGATAAATGTGATAAAAGTGGATATTTGTATATTTACCAAAGTAGCTTCTGAACTTAAAAGGAAAAAGGGAGTAAAAATTTACTAATCTTTTCACTTTATTATCTACATGCACGATTGATGATCTTTTGTGTCTTTAGAAACAAAAGAATGTTCCAATGTAGTCATGGTAATGTGATCTGTCCATATTTTTACAAAATGTAGTACAGTCTACTACACTACACAATTGTAAATCACTAAAAACAAACTGTCGTTAACTGGAACGAATGAACAAATCAGTTTTTGTGAGGTATTCATTTTGTTTAGTAATTTATTTGCTAATGTTCAAAATTCACTCATCTAGAATGAGTTACTAATTAGCAAAGTTATTCTGTATTTTTGTTATGTTGGGAAATGAGATAGAAACATTTTTTAGAAAGAATTTTCAAATGCAGTATATAAAAGTAACTTTTATAGTTGGATAGTTTTGGAAATAAATCAATATGTTATCAGAGCTACTTTATTCACAAATTTTTCCCCCAAAAAAGTGTGTCAAATATTTTGGTCTATGATGCTATTATTTTTTTATCTGCATGCATTTATTACTGGGACATTTGTTCATGGCACTGATTTAGATTAAAAGTGCTTTTGTTATAAATATATTTCTTAGTGCTTTATAACTTAGTTATGCCTCCTGGTTGCAGTATAATATTTCACAAAGAAATTCTTATTCCAGTGATAGTCTTTGTATATGTGTGTATGAACACATTGCAGAAAACATTTTAATGTAATACTAACATTGAGGAAGTAAGTTAAAGTAGTTGATTTTGATATTTTCTTAAGCCAAGACAGCTAGGCAGCCTGGATTAAGTTGAGTGTAAAAGTATTTAAATTCTGAGGGGGCAATTGATGCATCTTTTCAATACATTTAGTTGTTAGGGTAAGAGAGATTGGTGTAAGGTGGTCTTGCAGGCCCGCTTTCTGACTTTGCTCAGTCCACTGTTAATGGCCAGACCAGAAGCTGACAGAATGTTGAATGATATTTGGAGCTTTTCAGAGATAACTGAAGTCTCAGTCTCATGACTATTGGTGATCCACAGAAGGACCTCCTGAAATACTTTCAAGTCATATGTTGAAAGTATATGGCTGAGGAACCACTTCATCCAGTAAGGGTAAAGATATTTTCTTAGAATGTGAGACAAGGTGATGATGTTGTTAGGCCCCAGAATTAATCTTTTTGATGTGTATGTAAGGCAAGTTTAGCTAGAAAGTCTTTTGGAGAGGGGGGCTCTTCCTTTTCTTGATGACAGAGATCAGTTTCTTGAGGCCTGTGTAAAGGCTGGTTCCAGTGCCCCCAGTAAGGTCACAGCATGGGAGGAGAACAAGGACTGCTCATCTACTATATCACTTGTGAGCAAGTGAGCATCAAGAAAGCAGAGTGGAGCAGGGACTGGAAGGAACTCTGCCTCTGCCCACCTATTATTCCCTTGATGGAATAGCATGCCAGGTACACAGGAGCTGTCTATAACAGGGCTGCCTGGCCCTTTAAGGGAGAGTGGGAGCCCAGCTGTGGGTGATTGCTGGCGGTTAAAATCCCAAGGGAAGAAAGAGCAGGGAACTTGAGCTGGGGGAAGGAGCAGTTTATGGGTGTGGAGCAGACTCAAACCCAGTGGAGCTCACCACCAGAGCCAGAGGTGGCAGGCCCTCTGCTGCCTCATAGAAAAAGGTTAAAGGTTTGCTTTCTTCATGTGTTTGTTCAGGCCAAGGAATATTGTCCTTAGCGCTCCCAAGGGACCAGACCTAGGCAGCAAGATTGCAGGCCTCTAAGCCCGTTTATGGACTGTTGTTTGGGTGGTCTGAAGGACTTCTAAGGGGTCAAAGCCTGCTTGCTTGGCAGCAGGCACAACAACTTGCTTATACTCACTCACAAAAAGAAAAAAACACCGAAGTAACGTGCTATCCCCTGTGGAAACAGAAGCAGAATAGGAGTTGTGACTCCAGGTCAGAATTGGAGTCTCTGTTCTTCTTTTGAGGCTTATTCCTCAGATATTGTAAGGTTATAATCTCTCTTCTAAAGGTACGTCTTTAACCAGGGTTACTTTAAGCACGGAGGCCAGTTGAAAGAGTTAAGTGTGCCAGTATTTCAAGTGACTCTATGTTTTGAAAAATGTCATAATAATAATTTTATTATTATTGTGTGAAATGGGAAGGAGGCTATGAACAAATGTATGCATGTATTCCAGTGTAGTGGGAGTTAGCCATTTTGGCAGACATGGCACAAATTAGCTCTGTACTCCTAAGTGCTACTCAAATCCCCTTCACCTGCCCAATCTGCTATTCTGTTTCTCCTAAACTGTGTTCTCTGCCTGATTCACTGCTCCGATTTCTGCTGCTTCCCCCTGTTCTCCCTGCCCAATTTTCTTTTTTGCTTCCTGCTTTCTGCTTCCTTCCCTGTCTGCCCCTGTGCTGCTTGACCCCTCCCCAATCTGCCACGTGCTATATGCAGAGGCTGCCTGTGCGACTTTGTGGCACCCATGCCATAGGTTGGCCACCCCTTTCCAACATGTCCGAATTCAGCTGAGACATAAGAGACCACAACTCCCACTGATTTCAGTAGTTGTACTAGTTTTGGTTAGACTAAATTTGGCCCCAAGTGTTTAAATTTGTGAACTTATTTTATTCAAACTTGATTTTTAAAAATTTTATTAATGAAGGACAATAAGGCAAGCTAAGTTTGAAGTTACTAACTTCATCTGTATTTTAAAAATGTATTTGCATAACTCAACTTGAGAAGAGATAAGAAAGAAAGGGCCATGGAAAAAAAGGGATTGAAGAGATGGAGGACCTAGAAAAGATTAGTGCACCTCCAGTTGTCTGTATTCAGTCATAAATGCTAGTTTCTAAAGCCCTAACTGCTACTGAAGTCTGGATTTACAATTTTGAAAAGAGTCTTAAGGGCTGTGAAATAAGAGGAGAGAGACCAGGAGCAGCAAAACCTTTATAAAGTTTATCTTGTGAAGTGGAACATTGAGGCCATTAAAAAGGAGAGTCAATAGTTAAGGCCTGTGGAGTGAAGAACAATGAGCCTTTTAAGTAATTTGACTCTCTCAGGTGCTTGAATACCATAGATGCTGCACTGTAAAGCAGGATACAAAGTGTGTGGTGTTTGTATCCCAGGCAGAATATCAACTTCCCCACTGATTTTTATGCCCCCCCAATTTTGGGAGAAGGAAGGGTGATTTTTTTAGGGAAGAGGTGCTTGGTATATACAAGAAAATATGGTAGTTTCAGAGCTAAGATGACAGGAAGTTATAAAACTGGTTGCATTAGTAGATTTTTCATGCATTGTAACAGGATGGAATAGAATCATACTTAGGTGCCTAATATTGGGGTAGCATCTGGTCCATAGTGTTTAGTGACTTTCCAGTCTTCAATTAGGACAACATTTCTAAAGCAGATCAGGATTTTACAAGAACGTTGACTAGTATAGCTCTTATCTCAGGTAATTCTTGATTCAACATATTCAGATGGCCACATCTTTGATTTGCTGTTTGTCTTGAGATTGGAGTAGGAAGTGGAATGATCAACTCTTTCTATTTTGCATGGGCCATGGGCTGACTGTGTGGATTTACAATTTGTGGTTGCAGTCCACCTCTCCATTTAGGTTAAGTGACTTGAAGGTAATGAAACCTGAGTATTTACAATGGCTGTGTAGGAGAATTTGTATTTACAGCAGCCTCAATCTCTATTGCTAGTTTAATAGGATTTTGTGACTATCTTTTGTACCAAGTTATTGATTAAATACCAGATAAATGTTGTCATTGTGACATCTAAGCTGTATTTTGTCTTTTACTCCTGTTTAAATACCCATGAAGGGCACCTATACATGTGAAGCGAGGCTGCTCCGAGGTGCTGTAATTACACCAGCTTAATTGAGTCTGCTGGAATGTGATAATTACCACGACCCAGCAGACTCCAGCGTCACGTGTATTAGCATCCCTGAGCTGAAAAATGGCAGTAGGGGTGCTTTAACTAAAGCTTGTTTGACGAGCTTTAGTTAAAGTAGCACCGCAGACATGTTTCAGTGCAGGGACACCGATATACATGACACTCCTGGTGCTTTATTTACAGTGGGTCTCAGAGCCACTCCCAGAACGTGTGTATAAACCCCTGAAGAGGCTTGGTTTGGAATGTGTACTTTATATTGATGACGTTCAGTCACATAGATATTTTATGTCCTCTGGTGTTGTCAGCTGTCTCTTTCACTGTTTCACATAGCCATTGAGACATTGATGAGGTTCCAATAATATGAAGTTCTATCCAGATAAAATAGAAAAGATGCTAATAGAATAGGAGAAGAGGTTATAACATACAGAAAAGTTATGATGTCTCTTTTAAGTGAGTGTGTGACCTTAACGTTTGCTGCAAGAGATAGCAAACTGTGAGTATCATTGGACATCAAACCACAGTTAGATGATATTTTTCTATCCCTTGTGTGTTTTGTGAGAAAATAGCAATATCTGATTCTTGTATAGTGCTTTTTATCTGTACATCTCAAGCCCCCTCCAGAGGTTAATTTAATTATGGGGTGGAGTCTGAGTAATTTTATCCTGATACCCAAAAATCACAAATCCTGCTACTCCTTGATTTAGACATGCCGTATCACCTGGATAATTAAAGGGAGTGTTCATCCTAGGACTAGGGAGCCAGTCCTTGTTCCCAGGTTTCCCTTATGCTTGGATGTTTAAAGGGAGCTTGTGCAGCCTGGGACCAGGGAACCAGTCCCTGGTGCTCCCTGCACACTGATGCTTGCCAGCATGTGGGGACCTCTGCAACAGAGACTGACTCCCCTGTATGTGCTCCCCAGAGGCAAAGAAATTTAAGGGGACTTGTTGATAGACTAGTACT